ATTTCACAAAGTTTTCTTTACTTCGTTAGAACTTTTTTGGAAGCAAGCCTTGCAAAAACAAGAAATCAGGTTTTTCAACTTTTTTACGCTTGCTTGCGTGAAGACTACTGTAGTAAATCGCATATATCTTCCTAGTATCTACAAGCCTATGATAAGGAAAGAGAATCATTGATTCAAATTGTGGATTGGTAGTAAAGTATTTAATTCAATACTAATTTGGGAGGAACTAGCGGTGAGATGTGCCACGCTCTACCCATTCCAAGCAAAGCTGAAAGTAGTAGTCCATGCACTGCTTTCTTTTCTCTTTGAGTTTCTCATTTTCCAATCGGCATCAACAGTATCTTTTGAACTTAAATACGATTCGGCATTGATATCCATACTAGTTACTTCTTCCTAGCGCTTTCTTCACTCAGAGATTGATAACTGTCAATGTTGAGAGACGATAAAATCTGGGATTCCAGCAATCTCTGTTGATCTAGGCAGCTTCTAGACAAATGATCTTATAGAGCCACCTAAGCCTGGTCTTCATATACATCAATAGGCAGTGGTCGCTTAATCACCTAGGATGTAACAGTAGGGGATACAAAAGAAACTCGCCTTTGTTCACCACACTCCAACCCTCTGAGGACCCAGTCTCGACGTCATAGTGATCGTATCCAAGCCTAAAATCGGAACGGACAGTTTCTTAAGCTTCGAAAAGAACCAAGAACATATCTTGTAATCGAAACCAAATTTTTGAAAAGGTGGTACTACCTGAACGGTGCTTCCGGTCCCGTGTTAATCTCATCAGCAGCGAACTGTAAGGCTTGCACTGCTACATGGGCTTCGTCAAAAGATGTTGTGAAAGATTCTGAAGGTTGTTATGTGAAATTCTCGATAAACTTATGTTTTGGTTCGTCTTGCGGCTGTGAGGTAACGTAATTTACATATTGAATGAACATAAATCTACAAAACGGAAATGACTCACTAATGATGACTTTCGAAGGATATGAGAATGATCCTGGAAGAACGAGAAGCCAGAGGGTGATATGCTGCGCCAGACAGAGAATGCCATGGGGCATAACGAAGATGAGCTCTACTAGGACGGGCCTCACCTTCGTCACGAATTATTGAGCAGCTGGCAGCCCAGCAAATTGAGTTTGGCGCAATCAGTCAAGAGGCCCTCAATGGCCGCCGCGAGGTGAGGACCATGTACCTCTTCTGATGCCCTCAAGGCCTGAAACGGCTAATTGTCCACGCTGCACATGCTACTTCACACGACTTTTTGCAGCGCATTGAACAGATTGCAATTAACATTCTGCGGCAAAACATCCTCTTTGAAGATTAGCAAGCAAATGAACCTATTAAACAGGCAGAGTGGAGAGCCA